GCATAGAAATAGAAGACAGAAGAACAACCATGTTAACTATCCTGTATATACATACATACAAAATTTCTCCTTCTTTTCCTTCTCTTTTCCCACATCCCAGAAGCCCTTTACTCTTCAGTGGTTTCCTATCATTTCACAGTGTCTATCATACCTCCGAGTTTAAATTAACTCTTTCAAGTTATAAGAAAAAGCACACAATATTTAACCTTCTGTTTCTGATTGATTCATTTCCCTTAACATTATTGTCTCAAGGTACATCCATTTTCCACAAGGGACTTAAATTTATCCTTTATGGCTGAATAGTATTCCTTTGTGCATATATACCACACTTTCTTTATGCACTCATCTGTGGATAGATATACAGGGCCTTTCCAAGTTTTAGCTATTTTTTTTTTTTTTTATGCTCCTGTAAACATAGGGTTTGCTGGGTGTGGTGGTGCATTTCTGTTATCCTAGCACCCAGGAGGCTGAGGCAGGTGGATTACCAGTATTTCATGGACAGCCTGGGCTACACAGTGAGTTCAAGGCCAGCCTAACTACACAGTATTACTGCAGTATGATGTCTTTAACTCTTTTGGGAAGATACAAGGGGAATAGCTGGATTCATTGGAATTTCTAATTTTAGTTTTCTTGAGAAATCTCCATATGATTTCCATACTGGTTGCACTAGTTTACATTCTCATTAGCAGTACAGAAGGATAATTTTTTTTGTCACAACCTTGCTAGCATTTCTTACTTTTTGAGCTTGTGATGATAGCTATTCCTTCTGGAGTAAGATGGAATCTCAGTGTTGTTTTGATTTGCATTTCTCTAGTGACCAAAGATACTGAATATTTTTTCATGTACTTATTGACCATTTGTAGTTCTGGGGAGTTGTCTCCTATATTCATTTCAACTGCCCATTTTAAAATTTTTTTTTATTTTATTTAAAGAGTAAAAGAAGGATAACATAATAATAGGGGCGGCTTAGCAAATTACAGACAAAGTGGTAGGAAATTATCAATTGTTATTATTTTACATATTGTTATCAACAAGATAGTTTCTCAGGAAAACAAACAGACAAATAATAGTGAGTTACAGACCAAAGAGGTAGATTATCAA